GAATCCTTAACACACAGAACAGTGCCTAGAACATAGTAGGTGCTCAATAAATATTTGCCAGGCAAATACTTCTGTTACACACAAGTTCTGTGATCTTAGGCAAGTCAATTGGTTGGATCTCAGTGACCCAGTCTTTGAAATGAGGGTAGTGTGTGACTGATGTGAGGGAAAGAGAAGAGTTTTGAAATCGCTGGCTGACTACTCTGTAAATATGTGTAAAATAGATGTTGAAAACTGCCTGGACCACCTCTGACCTGTGGCTTGCAGACTTGCAGGTCAAGTGCCAGGCGGTCTGTCCTCTCCTTGGAGAGCCATGACATCTCAAAGCCAGGAGGGTCTGGGGGTTCCCAGACCAGGGCTGAGCTTGAATGTGACTTTGTCTTAATGGTACCTGCCTTGCTGGTAGGTGAAGTCCAGGCCCCTCTTTTCTGCCTCTTGTGTCTACCTGGGTGGCCCCTGACTAAGCCCTGTTCTTGGTGGTCTGTCAGGGAGCCTAATGTCTAGCAGCTCCACTGACCCCCATTGCCTGCACTCCCCAGGCCCCTGCCTGGGGTCTCCTCACTGGCCCCTGTTTATTTTTCAACACTAGAATGGTATTTGGACACACACTTTGCAGGAAAGCAGCTATTCAGATTGTGCTAGGTGAACAACAGGGTGACCTGTCCAGGCCAGGCTCTCCTGAACACAGCCGCACCTCCCCAGGAAGCATCTGGTCCTTTGAAACCTGTGAGTACCATGCTGGCCCATAAAACTCTCCCGCCAGCCAAGCCTTAGGGGATCCCCTCTCGACACTGAGCCTGGGACAGGACTCACGTGGTGAGCAGTGGAGTCAAACCCCTGGCAGGAGCAGGGAGCCTGCCAAACAGGCAGCCTCGCCTGCCAGTCATTCCTTCAGCATCTATGGAGTACCTGCCTGGTGCTGGGTGCTGCCACCATGATCCCTGGAATCCTGCCAGGAGGGTCTAATGGAACAAGCAAGGGGTTCAGAGGCCATATAGACCTAAGTTTGAATTTTGACACTGTGTCTTCTTTATTCATTCATTTGCTAAATGCATCTTGAGCACCTGCTCTGTGCCAGGCAGAGGTGAGCGAGACTGCTCTAGAAACTTAGGTGAGGATCAGATTGTCTGCCTGTGTACTCTTGCTGAGTCCTTTGTGTTCTCTCAGCCTGGATTTCTCCTCTCAGAGATGAGCAGATTCCCCCTGGGCAGGGGCTATCTTGATGACCATCCACGATAACACTTGTGGATAGGCCCTGGCTAGGTAGGGGTTTCTATTCCCCTTTGGCAGGTGTGAATCTGGACCCCTCTGCCACATTGCCCCCAGAATGACAGAGAGGTCCCTGGAACAGATGAAGGGCTCGGCTGTCCTTTGGGACAAGCCATCCCACCACGGAGTCATTCCTCCAAACCCCCCTAGGACATGTGCCCAGAATCCAGAATCCATGAAGGGTGCTCCCAGAGTGACCACAGATGAGTCAGCCACATGGCCTGTCCTTGCTCAGATGCTCTCTATCCCCTCCCCCCATTCCTCTCCAAAGGGCTAGTGGTTCAAAGAGGAGAAAGCCCTGGGCTGGGTCAGCTTCATTCATTCATTTACTCATTTATTCATTCAACAAGCACTTACTGAACGTGTGTTAGGCACAATCCAGGTAGAGAGGTGCACCATTGAGCACACAGACAAAACTAAGCACAAAATACCTAAATAAATACATTATATGATACATTAGAAGGTGGGGGTGAGCATTCCAGGCAGAGGGACATGCAAGTGCAAAAACCCTGTGCTGGTGAATTCAAGGAACATCTAGAAGACCCAAGTGGTGAGTAAGGGAGGGGCCTGATTGTGTGATCACTCTGAAACTGGGGAGGGGAGCCTGTCCCTGCCCGCTGGTGAAGGGGGCACATGCTACCATCCTCACACCCCTACCTTCTGATCTTGACCTTGCGGCTGGCTGTGTGGAGGAGGCAGCTGAGTCAGGATGTGACAGGGACAATTTGAGGCTGAGGGTTGTCAGGCAGCACTATGATGGGGATTGCAGTCCAGTCTGTGGCTGGGTTGGTGGTCCCCAGCAGGGATATGGGCTTTTTTTGTCTACTGGTGCACATGTTGGGCCTCTCCTCAGCCTCAGGACTGATTGACCCTGGTTCCTAGGCCAGATCATTGAAGACAGGCACCAAATAGCCTCCATTCTAAAGACGGGGAGACTAGAGCCCACAGAGGAGCTGGGCTGCCCAGGGCTGGCTGGCTGGGAGTAGGTGCCCACTGTTGCTTGTTTTTGCTGCATCCTTACCTGGTGAGCTAGCGGTCAGCCCAGAGGGCACATTAGGGTCCATTTCTGGAAGAGAGGCCTGCCCTGTGCCCCTGCACAGCCACACTCAGGAGTCTGGGTAGGCTGTAAGATGCTGCAGGCCAGTGATTGCCCAGCCTGGCTGTAAGCTGTTGATTCCTAGGCAGAGGGAACAGCATGTGCAAAGGTTCTGGGCACTTGAATTGGTTAGGTCTGTGCCAGAGCTCAGGAATCTGTGCTTTTTAGTTTCCCATCTGACACTACAAATGGTAGGATTGGGAGTGACTATTCAAGCCACTGGTGTTCCCCTGTGCCACCCTCCCCTGAGCCCTTAGCCAAGACCTTGAGGCACAGCAATCTATGAAACTCCTTCTACTTCTACTCCCCACTCCCCTCTTCCCGAAGCCCAGCCTGGAGGAGGCAGTGGGGAGAGATGTGTTGCCTGCCACCAGGCTCTAAGGAGCCACCAGGCCTCAGGAAGGGCCAGGCAGGGCGGGGAGAAGGCTCCCCACACCCAGTTGCTGCAGGAGTGGAGTGTGGGATGTATGGAGAGGTTAGCAGCGGCAGGGTGGGGGGTTAATAGAGGAAGTCCGGCAATCACTGAACAGCGAAACCTAAGTGTGATAGAGGTCGTGGGTGCTCTCCTCCCCTTGGCAGAGCGGAGAGGGGCCTGAGTGGGGAGCATGGGGGGAGGGGGGCAAGGAGAGTGAGACAAACAAGACTGGCAAGCAGGAGAAAGTGGAGGGAGCCAGGGCTGACACGTCTGTGTGATCCCTGGCGCGATAATTGGGTGAGCGGACGATAGGTCGGACACGTGTATGGATAGAAGGGTGGGTAGATGGAGAGACGCAGAGATGAATGAATGAATGGCTGCGTGGGCGGTGAGCAGCCTGGCGAGGGGCGGGCCAGTGGAGCGCTCAATCACAGCCCGGGGGCGCGGCGCCCGCCTGTACGCTCTGAACACCTCCCACACCCCCACCACCCTCCGCCGACCGCGGCCCCTCCCGGGGCGCGTAATTCCATGCCCCGGGGGCTCTGGAGCTGCTCCCTGTGGCGGCTCCCGGACTAGGGCGCAGAAGGGCTGTGCCACCGCCGCGGGGCTCCGCGCCACGGCCGTTAGCGCTCAGGCTGGGCTGTCCCTCCGCCGCCGGGGGAGCCTGGAGGTGCGGTCCCGCCTCGAGGCCCCGGACCCGCTCTTTGTCTTGGCCCAGTCCTCTGCTGTCTCCAGACCGCTCCCCGCCTCTTCAGGCGGCCCTTGCCGCGCACTTCTGGGCTGCTCCGGATCTCCGAGTCTCCGTTCCACTGCCCCCAGGCCCTAGGCTTCTCCCCCGCCCAGCAGGGTCCCCTAAACCCAGCGCCTCTAGGACCGCGAAGCCGGCAAGTACCAGGATCTCCAAGCTGCGTCTCCGGTGCGGGGCGGGGGCGGGGGCGGGGGGGGGGGGGCGCGGGATGAAGGCCCCCTGGTCTCCGCCTTCTCTCCCCGCCCCTCCTCCGCCACTACTCGTTGCGCTGCGCCCCGACCCCAGCGCAGCCCGCTCGCGCCTTAAGCGGCTCTTCTGCGGCGGTGCTATCCCCGACACCACGCGGAGCCCCTCTCCCGCCCCCCGCGCCCGCCAGGCCTCATACCGGCACGCAGAACACAGCCCTACGCAGCCACACACCAGACCGCCTGCAGACAGACACACACCACAGCCTCCCGGCGACCCACAGCCCTGCACAGGCGTACTGCCCCCTACACGCCAGCTCCACAACCCCAACAACCGCAATCCCACTCACAAACAAGCGCACACAGATCCACAATAGCCTCGAGACACAATCCTGTACACACCACCTTACACAGGCACACAGCCCCTCGGACACACACCCCCCACATGGACGCAGTGCCACCCACGCAGTCACACAGTCCCCCATAAAACGATCGCGCACAAACACAACTCCACGCAGGCACCGCATCACTCAGTTCCTCCGAGACCCAGCAACACACTCACAAGCTCGTAGCCAGGCCCCCAAACCCCATGACATTCACACGTAGGGCAGAACAGATATACACAGCCACACCGATGCACGCACGGACCTAATCGCGCAGCCAAGAGCTCACCCGAGGGCTCGTAAGTCACTGGAAAAATATTAAAGCGTTTCCCTCCCTCTTCTTCTGTCTCTGACACGCGCGCGCGTGCTCGCGTATACACAGACACACACACACACACACACACACACACACACAGGGGACACTCACCCCCACCCCCAAAGCGCCTTGGAGCCTCCTAGCCGGTGACCCCGAGCCCCCGCGGTGAGAGCCGCGGGAGCGTCTCCCCGGCGCCCCCTCCCGCTCCCTACCCGAGCTCACCACTCCTCCCCTCGCCTCCTCCCTCCCTGCCCCCTCCTCCTCCTCCCCTCCCCCGCGTCTGGGGCGCGGGCTGCGCGCAGCCAAGCCCCCTCGTCGCGCGCCCCTCCCCGCGCGCACCCCGCGCCCGCACCGCGCTTGCCGAGTGGATGCGGCCACGGGGCGGTCTCTAATTACCTCCTGTCCCCCGGTGGCCCGTGAATAATGGCTACTGAGGGCGCTCGCAGGGGCTGTTGAGAAGGAAACGCGGGGCGCGAGAGGCGCGGCGCGCGCGGGAGCGCGAGGGAGAAAGGAGCGAGCCCGGTGCCGCCGCGAGCGGCGGGCGGAGAGAAAGGAATCGTGCGAGCGCTCACATTTTTTTCTCCCAAGGATCTCATCTGGCCGCCGCGTTCTTGAAGAGGCGAGGGGGAGAGCGCGCGCGAGAGGAGGAGAGAGAGACGGCGCGGGGAAAGGGAGACGGCGAGACGCGCAGCGCCGGCGCCCGGGAGATCCAGGAGGAGCCCGCAGGTATTGTTGGCGGCAGAGCTTTGTGTCTTCTGGGGGCCGTGCCGGGGCGCGAGGGCTCCCGGAGCCCCCGGGCTGCCGCCGCGCTCGAACCTGCCCCGAACCCGGGGCCGCCGGCGGTGGTGGCCGCCGGCCGCGGGCACCCCTCCCGCCGCGCCGCGATCCTGGCTGGAGTTGCAGATTTGCCTATTTGGGGGTTTTCCACGCCAGTTGAAGGAATCGGTCTCGAGAGAAGGAATTTCTTTCTCCCCCCCCCTTTTTTTTGTTTGTTTCTTCTCTCTTTTTTTCCCCTCTCCCTCTCCCCCCCCTTTTTTTTTGGTGGCCGCAGTTTGGTTGTGTTGGGGACTTCCCCCTCCCCTTGCCTCCACATTACACTGGTGAGAGGTCTTGGCGACTGTGGCATGGTGGAAGGCAGGGGGCTGAGATGGCGGGGCTGGTGGCCGCCGATGGGAAGGTGAGGGACGCCGGAGACGGAAGGACTTTTGCTCAAGTTCGCAATCTGCGCGCCGGAGCCGGTCAGGCCGGGGAGGGCCGTCTGCGCACCCTGTCCTGCTCCAGGCAACCGGTGGGAAACTTCCCGCGAGCGCTGCCTCCCCGGGGACTTGGCGCCCCCGACGCCTCCCGGCGCTTCCTCCGGCCGCCGCGGCCCCTCCTTGCCGCCTGCGAGCGCTTAAGGTCGCGCTCTCCCCACCCCCGCCTTCCTCCCTCCCCCGGCGGCTTCCGGATCTGGACAGAACTGGAGGAGCAGCTTCAAACACTTCCCCTGGAGACCCCTCCCCACTCCCCGCGCCGTAGCCTGCCACACAGCCCCCCTGCCCTGCACCCCCGCCTCACGCGCGCCTGAGTGGCCAGGCTGACAATGAAATCTCGCGCCTTGCTGTCGGGGGTGGGGGTCGTAGCTGGGTCTTTCTGGGGGCTGCTGACCCAGGGCGGGGGGGGGGGGAGGGGGAGGGGAGGGGGAGGGAAGACTTCTTGGGGGAGGGGCTTGTTTGGGTTAGAGACGTTGACGTCCGATGGCGCTGTGCGGGGGAGGGGGCGGGGGCAAGGTGGGGTTCTCGGCCGGGGGTCGTGGATTCTAGCCCCTCTTGGGCTTGCTGATTGGCTGGTGACTTGAGGCACGTCGGAGGGGCCCCCCCCAACCTCAGCCTCCTCCCCGCAACTGGGCCTCCTCCCCTTCTGTACAATGCGGGCTTCAGAGGTGATCCCGAGGGTGATGTGTGTGTGTGTGACGGAGTGTTTGTCTCCGGCGATCCACAGCAGACGCTGCTCCGGTGACCCGGAGATCCGGACGCCTCGCCCCCTCCCTCCGCGGTGGGGGCGGGGAGGGAAAGAAAGGGGGAGGGGAGTGGTGGGAACTTCTTTTCCCACTGGGGCCCTGGGAGGGGAATGCTAGCCCAGAGATTTTCTGGGTACCGCAGTCCTGGAGGGGGGGCGCACAACGCAAAGTAGGGGTCGCCGAGTCAGAAGCTTCTCGGCACTCAAAGCGCCTAGATCCTTTCGTGGGAGGGGGTGTGGAGCGGGTGAAGGGGCTGGTTGGAACAGGAGTGGGGACCGAGAAGAGTCGATGGAAATCTGCCTTAATTGGATTCCCAGGCGAGCATCGGAGGGAGCCAAAGGGGGCTCCTCCTCTTTCTCTTCCAGGGACCCCAAGCTGGCAACCCAGGCAGGAGAAGGAAATCCTTCTCCCGACTTAAAAAGGGGATTCCTGGGGGAGAGGGGATGCACCTTGGGGGGGCGGTGGCGGGCTGCTTACAGGCTGTTCTGTGGCTCGGTCCAGGAATATAAAGAGTTAACCCTCCCCAGAAATCTGTCAGCCCCCACACAGCAGGGACACACTGTCGGACCCTTTGACGTGCTAACAGCGTGACACTGGCTGACAGGAGCTAGCAGATTCCATACTCTGTGCTTCCCTTCTCAGCAGCCACAGGCGGCGGGACAGGACCTGGCTGGGTGGTGCCTCGGTCAGGGGCCTCGGGGGAAGGAGAAATCAGAGCCAGGGAAGGTACAACAGCCAGGTAGCCGCCCTGTGGCCCTGAGGAGAAAGGGGTTAGGGTCCAGGGTTAGGGAACTTGAAGTGGAATCACCCTGGGGTCTGGGGAGGGTGGTTCACACTTTGCCCGGCTCCCCACCTCAACCCTTCCCACCCACAGCTGGAGGGTCGGGCGTTAAGGGTGCGTTTCTAACCCATAGCCTAGACTCTGAGACCCTAGCAGTTGAGGGCAGGGCTGACCGAGGCCAGGGAGGAGGCAGGGCTGAAACCGGCAGGATTGATTTGTGTTCCCTCAGAGGGCCCCATGACCGGACAAGTGCCTTGGTGTCGAGTTATTTGTGGGGCTGCCTCCCTCCCTCCAACCCCCACCACACACTCATTTGTTTCCTGCAGGTGAGAAGCGTTCCCTGCAGATCGGAGAGCTCTGGGGCCTGGCACATGCCCGGGCACTCAGCTTTGGCAGGACAAACGCAGGAGTGGATGAATCAGTGATGAATGAATGAATAAATGAATGAATGAAAAAAAGGGGAAAGTTTCTCAATTGGAGGCATTTAGCCATTAAAAAGAAAAGAAAGAAAGAAACTTCTCAGACGTACACATTTTAAAATGAGGTTCAGAGAAAATCTGAAACAGAGAGAAAGAGAAACAAGGTTACTTGACAGCAGGCTATGACAATGTTAATATTTTGATGTTGTTCACAGTCCGTGTGTGGTTTGTTTTTTAAAGACTTTGTGGCCATTCTCTGTATTCAGATGTATATCCTGCTTTCTTCCTTGGTGCTAACAGGAGCCTTTTCCTGTTTTGTAACCAACTCTTCATAAACACCCTGGTTAATATCTTCAGGCTTTTCCAACTGGGGGGGGGGGATGTGCCATCATTTACTTAATATTCCCCTTTTGTTCAACATTCTGGATTCTCCTGATGAACGAGGTAGCGATTATATTTTGCACAGAGCACTTTTTTTTCCCCTGATGTTTAAGATGATTTCCTCAAAATGACGTTGCTGATCCTGAAGACTCCGGCATGCCTGCAGTGGAAGAAATGGGCTTCTCATTTTTCCAGAAGTGGGAAACTATTCTCCTTCCTCCCTCCCAATCTAGAACCTTCTGTCAGAACTGAAAAAGAGCCTTGGCAATGAATCACCTGTGTGAGCCTCCTCCTTTGACAGAGGAGGAAACCGGGGCCCAGAGAGGGGAAGTGAGTCCCAAGGTCACACAACAGTTGCTGGGCCTTGCAGCAGCCAAGAGCCAGCTACTAATCTGCCATCTTGATTTCTACTTGTGGGAAGAGTTTCTAGGGATCTTTTAGGCTGACCTAATCTATTACACAGATGAAAGGACCCCAAGACCCCAAGAGAGGAGAAGCACCCAGCCTGCCCATGGCATCACCAAGTTCAGCACCAGATAGGCTCCTAAGCCTGTCTCATACTTTGTGTCATGCACACTGGCCCTGTCCATGGATTCTGGGGCCGCCAAAATCACTAAACTATGGTTGGCCAGCCGTGGGCTTCCTGTTGTACCTCCTCAAAACAACTCCTTCCTCTTTGCCATCCCATTCTCCAGAAGGAGAATAGAGGATCCAAAGTAGGTGCAGTAAGAGGGATGGGACTGCAGATCCCAGTGGTTGTGCCCTTATGCCTGTGCCTCAGTTTACTTTTCCTAGTTCAGGAGCAAGGGGCAGGTGTTGGCACAGATAGCTACCATGGAGGAGTGGGGAAGGACCTGTGTCTTCTTAAACTTATTCTGATCTTAGATTGACCTCAGGAGGGCCCCTGGGGAGGAAGGGGAGACAGGGAAAGGGTAGAGAGAGAGGAACAGAAGGGGAGATGGGGGGGGGATTAGAAAAGTGGGAGGGGAGGTCAGAAGGGAAGAAAATGCAAAAATGAAGAAAGGAGAGCAAGTTCCCTCCCCCCCCCACCTCACTCAGTACCCAGAGGTGCCCCAGAGGGTGGGGGGACAGCCCTACCAGTGCACCTGTCAAGCTAGCCTGTGCTGGGTGGCCAGGAAAGGCTGGATGTCCCGGGTGAGCTCTGAGGGCTGAGTGAAGCAGCTGTTTGAGGGGCTCTGGGATCAGAAGGATCCAGACCAGGTGGGTGGCAGGGAGGTAAGAAGTCTGTGGCTTTTCTGTTCCTGGGTTTCCGGTGGGGCAGGTGGCAAGGTACCCCTAGGGAGGGAGCTAGGGCCATGGGTGCCTATGGGGGCAAGGTGATCATGGCTCTGACTTTCCTTCCAAGGACAGGGACTTCTTCCCCACTGCTGGCACACTGGCTGGCTGTTGTAGTTAAGCACAGACCTCCCATGAGCATGGGTTGTCTGGGCATTTCTGTAGTGTATGTCTGTGTGTGTCTGTGCTTGGATGCATCACTGTGCATGTGTACACATCCATGTGTGCCTGTGTGTGCCTATGTCTGTGTGTCTGATCCTGTTTGTGTGGGGGTCAGTTTGCTGCCAGCCCGGGTGTGTGTGTGTGCCCATGTCTGTATGCCTTGGACCCTGTTTGTATATTCCTTAAGGGGTCTGTGTGTCTTCCAGCCTGGGCACGTGTGCATGCATGCATGCATGTGTTTGTGTGTGCATGCGTGAATCTGTGTGTATCCCTGCATGTGCTATGTCTGTGGGTGTGTGCATATGTCTGTGAGTCTCTGCTCCCATTTGTGCATTTCCGGTGGGGGGAGAGCGTGCCCTGGAGCTTGGGCACGTGGATGTTTGTCTGTGTGTGAGCACACACTTTCCTCCTAATGGCCCCAAGAGGTATCCAGGCAGCAGGCTTTTGTGCTGCTTTCAAGGTTGCGGCTGGGTGGGTGAAGAGGGGGGGCGGCCTTCTACTGGGAAGCGGGGTGGGGGGGAGGCAAAAGAAAATCTTAAAAGACCGTCTTCCCTCTGGTCTCCAAGGAGATCAGCCTGTGAAATGATCCGCACGTTAATTAAAAACGATTATATCCTGATTGAGCCATTCCTGCTCACATCCCCCGGCTGGGAAGGCTGAGACTGAGACCAGAGGATGGAGAATGGGA